ACAACAACAACAACAACACAACAACAACAAGAACAACAACAACAACAACAACAACAACAACAACAACAATCACTTTACCCGAACGCTCAGTGTTCTCACCAGTGCCAGGGTTTTCATGCGACGCCAGCCAATACCCCCACTTTGTGGGGGGCAGTGCAAGCTCTACCAAATATCCACACGACTCTTCGCCACCACCCACACCCAGCTTCCCGCCCTATGACGTTCGGACACTTCACTTCGTGGCCTGCGGACGACCGTGGCTACTACACTGGCGTGGAGTACACACCCACAGAAGTTGTTAAGCCTACGTTCGTACACCCACAGAAGTTGTTAAGCCTACGTTCGTACAACCAGTAGGGGGACGTTTTATTCTCGGCGGCCGAGGGCGCAACCTATGGCGCAACCAATAGGGGGACGTTTTATTCTCGGCGGCCGAGGGCGCAACCTATGGCGCAACCGCAAGGGATTGTGGCCCCTGGCAGGCGCGCGAACCCCGTTGCAAGAGCGTGCGAAAGTAGCTCGCGCGAGCTCATGTAACATAAATGTTGGAAAACCATTGGTTTTTTTTTAGGATTCGGACAGCGCGCGCGGGTAGAAATTTTGAAAAGTCGTGCAGGTGTTTTTCGAGGACCTACGGTGCGATTCGTGTGATTTTATGATGCGCGGTGCTAAAATTCTTAAGAAGCCCAATGGTTTTTGGAGATTTCGGCGTGCGCGCGCGAAGAAAAAACGAATGTGTCCCGCATGGTATTATTTGACAGGGATGATGGCCCTGGCAGGTGCGCAACCGTTGTCGCAGAAGTTCGAAAAAGTTGCTCGCAAAAGCCCGTTTGACAGAAATGTTTAAAAAGTGTTGGGTTTCCTACGAATCCGCAAGAGCGCGCGGGATGAGATTTTGACATTTTTTTGTTGAAAAACCATTGGTTTTTTTGATGTTTTTATGTTAAAATCGCTCCGAACACTAAGCTTTTGGAAGGATTTCGTCTTGCGCGCGCGAATGTCCACTTTACCTTATTTTTTGCAAGGGATTCTTGAAATTTGATTATATTAGAACAAGAAATGTCATTTTATAGTGTTTTTTGCAAGGGAAAACGGATTACAACAAAACAGCCGGATCTGGATCACATCGTTTTACTTGAGGCTTCCTCACGAAAATGATGAAAATGTAGCTGCGGCCTAGGCGGCGCAGGGGGGGCGCGCACCAGGGGGCCCAACAATAATTATTCTTTAGAATAAATAATGTTCAACAACAACGGTACCAACAACAACAACATCAACACCAACAGCAACAACAACAGCAACAACAACAACAACGACAACAACAATCACACTTACAACAACAACGGCAACAACAACAGCACCAACAACAACAGCAGCAGCAGCAACAATAACAATCATTTCCAGACTGTTCGCCTTTATCTGCTCGTGTGTTCAACCACGCGTTTTTCCCAAACCCTCGATACCCGCCTCTTTCGTCTTCGATCGATACCTTGTTGGGGGGTAGACCTTTCTTCCCTGCAGGCCGGGCCCCGGTTAGCGGCGGGGCGGCCGCGGACTGTCGGCCTGGCCAGCGGCAGCGCTGTTCGGCGGGGCGGCCGCGGACCGTCGACCCGACCCCAAGAGGGACGGACAGGGGACCGACCACGACGACGACGACGACGACGACGACGACGACGACGACGACGACGACGGCGACGACGACGACGACGACGGCGACGACGACGACGAGCGAAAGCGAGAGCGAGAGAGAACGACAGCAGGGCCACGAAGGAAACAAACCAGGCCACGAGGGGCGACAGCGGGGATACGAAGGGAATGTGTACGGGGCCACGAATAGCGCGAACGAGCGGGGGCCACGAAGAGCAGATCACGCAGGGCCACAAAAGCAACGATGGGGCCACTGAGGGTAGCAACTGGGCCACGTGGGGCAACGAAGGGGCCACAAACGGCGACAGCGGGGCCACGAAGGGCACGCACACGGGGCCACAACGGGCGCGAACGAGCGGGGGCCACGAAGGGCATACGTATATTGGGGCGCGGAGGGTAAGGACGGGGTCACTGAGGGCAGCAAGGGGGCCACGAAGGGCAGCGAGGGGGCCACGAAGGGCAGCAACGGGGCCACGACGGGCATGCGTATGGGGCCACCACGGGCGCGAACGGGCGGGGGCCACGGAGGGCATACATATATGGGGCCACGAAGGGCAGCGAGGGGGCCACGAAGGGCTGCAACGGGGCCACGAAGGGCAGCAACGGCGCCACGAAGGGCTGCAACGAGGCCAAGGGCTGCAACGGGGCCGCGGAACAAAGCGGGGGGGCCAGGAAGGGCTGCAAGGGGCCACGAAGGGCAGCGATATCCCGCTTCCTAGGTCATCTGCGAGGGAGTCCTGAGCGTGAGCGCGACTCCTGCGTGTCTGGGTGTCGGGAGCGCGGTGCTTGAGTAAATTGCGGGAGCTTCCAACGCATGGGCGCGTTTTTGTTTTTGGGGTCAATTCCAAGCAAGTTTCTAGCGAGAGCGCGACTCCACAGCGCCGGGAGAGCGATTGTTGAATAAATTGTAAGGAAGTCCTAGGCGATCGCGCGATTCTTCAATTGCATGCCAGGAAGTCTCGGGCGGGAGCGGGGGTCCGGACGTCTCAGGCGGGAGCCGTTGTTGTTGTAACCCGGGGGCCAGGGGCACAGTTCGAGCATCAAGACTTCCCATGTCAAAAAAACAGGGTGCGAGCGTCGAGGGGCACATTTTGATGGAGACAATACAATATGCACTGGGGAGGGGTGATCAACAGTAACTCGTCTTCAGAAATGAGAGTTCAACAAAAACAACCTTAACATCAGCAGCAACAACAGCAAACACTTTAAGACTGTTTGCTGCTATCTGCTCACGTGCCATTCGATACGTCTATCCCACAACCTCAGTACCCGCTCTCGCCGTCTTCGATCGTGCCCCCTTGAGGGCATATCTTCCTTACCTGCCACGCCCATTAAGTGTAGCCCTTTAGACAAGGAAGAACACACGGGTGGAAGGGGGAGGGAGAAGAATGGAGCACGAGAGAAATTAGCTAGCAGGCGGGGGGCAAGGAGCATAATACAAGTGGCAGAACCAAACGGGCAGATAGGATGGGCAGACTCATAGCGGGCAGGTCGGGAAGGCAATCCCAGGCGACCAGGTCGAGCAGGCGGGATGCTGAAGCGTGGGTCCTGCATGAGTCACGATGATATCCCGGGCGACAGCACAATTCCCAAGTAATTCGTGAGAAAAAACCAAAGCGACAGCGTGATTCCTGCGCGCCGAGGGCGCCTCGTTTGAATTAGCTGCGAGGAAGTCCCACGCGAGAGCGCGACTCGTGGACAAAGTGTGAGGAAGTCCCGCGCGAGAGCGCGATTTGAGAGTACATTGTGAGGAAGTATCAGGCGGGAACCGCTGTTGTTGTAAACAGGGGGCCGACGACGCAGTTTGAACCCCGTGATTGTCCTTGATAAATTAGCCTGGCGAAGGACCCAACCATATGCAGCTGTGAATACCGCAAGTATGATTATCATCTTCGCCCGCGCTCCCTGTGGGGCCACGAACCGTGTAAGGGGCGTGCCGACATGCGTGGCGGGGCACACAGCGCGAGCGAAGACGATAGATCTGTGTGCGAGAGACTGAGGATGAGTCTGCGCGCGCGCGAGTCTACGTGCATAAATGTCGACGCCCATGTTGGCGCGCCTCTCACGAGGATCGCGCCCGTTTTCTTCCCGTGTTTCTTCTTCCCTTTTGCCCGTGCACGCCCACGTCAAGGGCTACGGGCGCGGCGCCGCACGGAGTTCCCGCGACGCGTGCTGGTCGCCCCGAAGGGGTCCCTGCGACGCGCGCGGGTCGTCCGCTGCGCGGAGCAGAGCGAGCGAGCGGGCTGGTTCACGCCCGGGATGCGCGGCCCGAAAGCGGCTTCAACACGCCGAATACGACGAAACACGCCCAGGACCCAAAAATCGCCGCCATGCGAACTCCGCCACTGGGCCGCCATGCGAGTTCCGCCACGGGGACCTTAGGTGGAGCTCCGTATGGGGCCACAAAACGTGCGAGGGGTGTAACAAGATTCGGCTGCGCCGCTGGGACCTTAGGTGGAGTTCCTTATGGGGCCACGAAGCGTGTGACGGGCGTGCCAAACGGGGCGGGGATGCATTGCGAGATCCACCCCTGGGACCTTAGGTGGAGCTCCCTATGGGGCCACAAAACGTGCGAGGGCGGTGTGCCAAAATGGGGCGGGGATGCCATGCGAGCTCCGTAAGTGGGACTTTGGGTGGAGCTCCCTATGGGGCCACGAGGCGTGTGAGGGGCGTACCAAAATGGGGCGGGGATGCCATGCGAGAACCACCACTGGGACCCTAGGTGGAGCTCCCTATAGGGCCACGAGACGTGTGAGGGGCGTACCAAAATGGGGCGGGGATGCCATGCAAGCTCCACCACTGGGACCTTCGATTGAGCTCCTTATGGTGCCACGAAGCGTGCGACGGGCTTGCCAAAATGGGGGGGGGATGCCATGCGAGCTCACCAGTGGGACCTTAGGTTGAGCTCCTTATGGGGTCACGAAACGTGTGGGTGTTATGCAAAATGGAGCGGGGATGCCAGGCGATTTCCGTCACTGTGACCTTAGGCGGAGCCCCCTATAGGGCCACGAAACGCGTGAGGGGTGTGCCGACAGAGAGACATGCGGAGGGCAGAGGCAAGGACGGGGAAGAGGGAGGAAGAGGAGGGGAGGAGGAACGCGGGGCACCGTCTCTTCAAAACGAGGACCCAACACCACACGATGGATGGGAACAAAACAGGGTGCGAGCCCCGGGGGAATCACTTAAATTGCACAAACACACTGGGCCCCCGGAGGGGGGATCAATGATAATTATTCATCTGAAGCGCAACAGCAACAGCACCAACGACAACAACATCATCATCAGCAGCAACAGCAAGAGCAACCACAACCACGACCACGAGTTGCTGCCCCCCCCCCCCCAGCGCGGCCCAGGACTACCCGGCCGTGGGGCCCCTCATGGAGAAGAAGGCCGCGAGCCCCACGCTGCGTGGCGGCGTTCTTCGAATGATACAAAACATGCGCATGAGCGTTAACTTTCGGAATGCCGCGCGGAATCCTTAGACCGGCGCTGAGCTCCCCCCCCTGGCGGCGCCTCCTGCGCCAGGGAGGGGCCGGGCCTCCAGCGCCGATCCGAGTCCAAAACAGGCAGAGCTCCGGAAGCCCATGCTCATGCATGTTCCTGTGCCTCGGAGTTCCGCCGACCGCTCTCCCCCTCCCCCTCCTCCTCCCCCCTCTCCTCCTCTCCTCCTCCTCTTCTCCTCTTCCTCCTTCCTCCTCCTCCTCCTCCTTCCTCCTCCTCCTTTTCCTCCTCCTCCTCCTCTCCTCCTCCTCCTCCTCCTCCTCCTCCTCCTCTCTCCTCCTCCTCCTCCTCCTCCCCCTCCCCTCCCCCTCCCCCCCCCCTCGGGCGGGGAGGCAGGAGGAGGGCACCCGGCGGGTCCGCGCCGCGCCGGCGCTGGCCAGGGCCCCCCGCCGGCGCGGGCGGCCCCCTTCGGGTCGAGCGCCGCCGTGGCCGAGGGTCAGAAAGGGGAGAAGACACAGAGACACAAGTAATCGTCGATCCCCAAGAAAATGTGGGAAAACATGGGAATTGGGCGGGAAGGCAAGAACCCAGAAAATATGGGAAAATATTGAGAATCTTTTTATTTGGATGTATTTTTTTTGCGTCCCAGGGCCCCTTGAAAGGAGGCCTCCTCAGGCTTGTGGACGACGATTAATGGAGAGGGGGCATATTGCCAAACAGCTTCCAGACGTCTAAAACATGTTTGAACTAAGTTTAAGTCGGGTTTGTCCCTCTGCAGGGGGAATATTCGAAAACAGTAAAAACATAGTCTGGGGACTATGTTGTAGTATTTGTTGACCATTCTGGAGTTTTTTCTTTCAAAAAATAAAAAATAAACAAGAAACCTTTTTATGTGTCGTCGGAATCCCCCTCTAGGTGGACACGCCCGACTTAACACCACGTTTCTAAAAGGCCAAGACATGTGTTGAACATATTTAGAACATGCATGAACGCATGTTCAAGAGATTTTTAATGCAATGATAGAGCGATTCGAGTGTCCATTGTCATGGCATCCACAACCTCAGGTCGCCCAGATGAGGTCCTAGCACAGTCGGACCGAGGTATACGATCGAGGTTGGTTCGGGGAGGGTGCCCTCGTGTTCTTCGTGCTTGTGTGGTGTTCTTGTGCATCCTGGGGAGGGTAATTACCCTGGGATGTTTTGTTTTTGTTCCCGTCGGAGGGTCTCAATATCCTGAATGATGCTTTTTTGGCCTAGGTCGGTGGGGTTTGGTGGATCGCGCCGCACCGCCGATGCATCGGCGATGCGGCTCGATGCGGAGCTCGATCTCCTCCACGCCCACGTCGCCGCTGCATCGCAGACGTCGCTAATGCAGCGCTGATGCATCGACGATGCATCGGCGACGCATCGGCGATGTATAGGCGATGCGGCCAGGTCCTCCGACCCCATACGTGAGGCTTCAGGATCGGCCGCACTAGAGATCATGCTTCTCTCCCCGGGTGATACACCCCAGGCCTCCTCGGGTCATGAAACACCAGTGTACCCTGACGAAGGAACCCAACCCTTTTTGTATATGGGGCCGGGAAACGTGTGAGGGGTGCGCCGAAATGGACCCGAGTTACCATGCGGACAGAGCCGCTGGGGCCTTGGGTGGAGCTCCCTACGGGGCCATAGCTCGTGCGAGGAGTGTGGCATAATTGACCCGAGTATCCGATGCAGCCAATGGGGCTTTCGATGGAGCTCCCTGTGGGGCCACGACGCGTGTGAGTTGTGTGCCAGAATGGACCCGGGTAGCAATGCGGACAATATCATGCGGCTGTCGGTGGGCAAAGCGTGTGAAGGGTGTGCCGGCATGGACCCGAGTAACCATGCGGACGCAGCCACTGGTGCCTTCGGTAGAGCTCCCTGCGGGGCCACGAACGTGTCAGGGGTGTGCCGACATGGACCCGAGCACTCATGCGGACGCAGCCACTGAGGCCTTCGGTGGAGCCCCTTCATTTGGGGGGCACGACGCGTGTCAGGGGTATGCCGAATTGGACCCGAGTAACCATGCGGACGCTATCTTTGGGACCTTCGGTGGGGCTCCCTATGGGGCCATGAAACGTGGGAGTGGTGTGCCGACATGGACCCGAGTAACCAGGCGGACGAGGAGAGGAGGAGGGGGAGGAGGTGAGGTGGAGCGCGGCGCTGGGAATTCCAGATGAGGACCCAATCACAGGGGGGTTGGGAAGGACGGAGATTTTGTGGTAGTTTCGGCCTCTGGGGGCCCCACCGGGCCCCAAGACTGTATTGCCAAACAACGAATTCGGATAAAGAGCCTGTCCCAGAGAATGGGGAGACTTCTGGTGGTCGACGTCATGAGCAAAACATGACGCCAGTGGTCCAGGACGGGCGTGACTGGCGGGGGGGCAGTCGGTGGGGGAGGGGTCAGGGAGAGTCATGGTTCGCGCCGGCGCTGCCTGTGGGAATGCATATATCTGCGCGAACGAGATGGACACGGAAAGAATTGGTACAAAGCTCAACAGCAGCTCCTGTTCATTTTGAACAGGACTCGCTGTCGGTGTCGCCGCGGACTGTCCATTTGAGACAGAAGGCCGCTTGCCCCCAACAGCGGCCGCTGTTGGTTTGGGACAACATTTGATGTTGGGCATTGTACCCATTTTTTCGTACCCATTTCGGGTGTCCGAAACATAGGACTCGCTAGTTCCTAGACGGCGCTGGCGCGAATCGTGACGTGACAGGGGGCGGGGGATCATGGGCTTGTTTTCAGTCGGAGGGGGAAGGAAGTGGAGGATGAGGAGGAGAACGAAGAGGAGGAGGACCAGGAGGAGGAGGAGGAGGAGGACCCCCTCCCCCTCCTACTTTTTGTGGTGGTGGAAGACAAGCCCACCAAGGAACGGGCGGTGGGGAGCGGGGCCAGTAGCGGGCGTTATTTGCGAATCTATATAAGTTTATTGATGTGGGGAGGCCGCCGATAGTTCCACGCTCAGCGATGCACGGTATGCCAGATGCCGGTGCGCAAGTCGTCGTACGGCAGAATCTGACAGTCGGGAGAGGGATTGCGTCGAGCCGGCGCCCGCCAGAGGGCTGCGACATGCGACACTTGCGGCACGGAGACGGACGGGGGAGATGTCATGGAGTTTGGTACGATCCTTAGGCCTACTAACACAATGAATTCGTGACCTAACTCAGATCCGCGGTATGCGTAGATTCGTTTGGTACATACCCCCTATCCCTAGTGTTTGGCCCTCCTAACTTAGGTCCCCTTTCAAAAGGTTAGGGTTAAGTCGGGCGTGTCCCTCGACAGGAGGAATATGCAAAAATAGTCAAGCAATAGTCTAGGGACGATTTTCAGAGTATGTTTGCCATGCTTTCTTCTGTTGTTCGACTATGTTTTATTTGTCGTCCAAAATCCAACTGTAGGAGGACACGCCAGACCGAAGGTTAGGGGTACTTCTGTGGCTCATCCAGGGGGGGGGGGCGCTGGGCCTGTTTTTCACCAACGCCACCACAAGTTGAAGGGGGTGGGTCCTCCTCGCCCTCTTCTTCTTCTTCCTCCTCCTGCTCCTCCTCCTCCTCCTCCTTCTCCTCCGCCTACTGCTTCTCCTCCTTCTCCTCATCCTGCTCCTCCTCCTCCTCCTCCTCCTCGCTCTCCTTCTCCTCCTCTTCCTCCTCCTCCTCCTCATCCTCATCATGCTCCACCTCTGTCCCCCCTCCAACTTCTGGTGGTGGTGGTGGAAAACAGCCCCAACAGAGGGCGCTCGACTGCGCCCCCCCGTTGTGGCACTGCACTCCCCCAGTCGTCGCGTCGTCGCGTCGTCTCCGCCGCTGGCGCCCCCCCGGTCGCCAGTCGACCGTCGTCCTTCGCAGGCCTGGAGGTTGACACCAACACCAAAATCGGCGGTGTGCCTCCACCGAGGGAAGAATATCCGCAAGGGCTTCGCTCCCTGCCGGCGGCCCCCTCTCTCGGATAATGGGCAATGCAAGAGCGAACTCATGAGGCCTTGGCGCCGCCGTGAAGCAGCGTCGGGACTTCACGCGAAGACGATAAGCAATCGGCAAGGCAAATTGAGATTCTGATGATATTGTTGAATTCGGGGTTGCATTTCGAGCTGCCTCGCGTATGCTGTGCAACATGCTTTTCTACGAAGTATTGAAATGTTGCAAACCCCATGTGTGTTTGACCCTGACCCCACCGATCTGCGTGAGGGTGCCACCGAATTTTAAGACACGGTCACGCGCAGAGGGGGGCAAGGGGAGGGGGGAAGGTTTCTTAGAAGCATCCCTGCTTCTTAGAAGGCGCGGGCCTTCTCAGAAGCAGCCCCCTTCTAAGAAGCCTTCCCCCATCCCACTGCCCCTGTGTGCGCGCCGCCCAGTATATTGTTCGGCGTCGTGCCTCAGGATGCGTTCACCGATGCTGGCCAGTCCAGTCCTGAGCCCAGGTCGGTGGATGCTTCTGCCTGGCTAAAAGCATGGGAGGCGGGAGGTATCTCGACTCAAGGCTCGAGCTACACTTGTTTCTTTGCGTTCACGTGGGCCGCTTTCGTGTTGCATCCGATTCGCCAGCAAAGGCGTTGAAAGGAACACGAACGAAGCCAACGCGACAACGGACCACGTTATTTAGGTCGGGCCCTACCTCGGTTCACATATCTCTAACCTCGAGGGGTACGCCCTGCATAGTCCCTCTTCTCTGGGGCGAACCCTCGATTCTACTGGCCGGCGCCGGCCTGGCCAGCCCCGACAACGGCACCGCCTCGCCGAGCGCGCCTGCGGAGCCACTTGCCTGGTGCGGTGCAGCGAGAGGAGGTCACGTCTCGCCAGGTGTCCCGAGGCCTCCCACGGGCCCCGGGGCTGTCAGGAAACGACGCAGGATGAAGAACTCGTCCTGGGGGAAGGCCCCAGGATCCAGGACCCGTTTGCCGCAGGACCCGCTTCCCCCGTGCTGAACACCGCGCGTTGGTTCACCTGTCGCAGGGTGGCCCTCGCGGGACCTTGTCTGGTGCATCTTGCTGTGCAGCATCTGCTCGTGCTGGCACTCGTCAGTTATCCGCGGCTGCTGCTCGTTGAAAAATCAGCGAGAGGGGGGGGGGCTGCACATCCGCCAGTCCTGGACGCAGGGTTGGGTCGGCCACGATCCGCCTAGGTGGATTGTTGGCGTCGTCCTGTTCTCCTCGGCCCTGGTCTTAAGTCGGGCACGTCCTTCGACAGGGGGGAAATTCAAAAATAGTTAAAACATAGTCAGGGGACGATTTGTCGACTATTTCTTGACCATTTTGTATTTGTGTTGACTCTGTCTCATTTTTCGTCCAAAATCCCCCTTAGGAGGACACGCCCGACCTACCCCTAATGATTTTCGTGTTTGTTGGATGTTCTTCTGCATGCTGGGGGATCACCCTGGAATGTTCTTCAGGATGGGCCAGCGGAGGGTCTCACGTTCTTGAAGGATTCTCTTCTGTCCCAGGTCCGACCGTGGCTGCTGCCATGGAGGGGGCCCCGGCCCCGAAGGCCGCCGACTGCCCCCCGGGGACCAGCCGGAGATCGCGAGGGAAGAGAAGCGGCCTCCGAGAGCAGCCATTGCCGCTCTCACTGCTGGGAGGTGTCGCTTGCCGTGTCGGCGTCGCGTCTGGGGAGACGGCCTCCGGAGGGGGAGGGAGAGGGGGAGGCAGGAGGAGCGGGGCGAGGGTTGG